CTAGAGCATGTTTCGTGATATCATCGAATAACGAACGCTGTTGATTCGACAATGATAACAAATTCTACGAAGAATACAATAACTTTTGAATTCATCTACTAGATTAGTTTTATAAATTTCGATAAAATAGAAATTTGGCAGAGGTGCGAGACGAGATCAATTAATCCCATCATAATCGCGTTGATTCTTAACAATCGCTCAAAGTCCTCTAACATCATAATCCGAAAATTGAATGACGCGAACAAATAGATACAGTTTACGTTTACTGGACATCGGTCGACGGAAGTTCGGATAGAATTAACATCGATGAATTACTGGACAGAAGCAACGAATACAGTTGACGAGCGACAGAAACTGTGCGTCCCATCTGGTCATGTGTATTATCTATCGGTTAATTTATCGATTCACATTGCACGAACGGACAAACGGTAGGAAATGTGTCAAAGCAATTTCACAATATCCAAGCCGAGACTGTCCGACAATTTATCGAAACATTCGGGATCTCCTGGTGAATTGATCATGCATACTATTGATTTATCTTTCAACGATCTAATTCACCGTACTGTCGCATTAGAACAATAATTATCCTGCTCCAATAGAAAATAATTGGGTAAATCAATTGGATTGAAATTGAAAGTCTGAAGTAATTGAACATTAGCTCAATCCTTTCGGGTTTATTGTTGGCTTTAACTAATCACCAATCATTTATTATTAGGAATATCGCTGAAAGACTTATGTAGACATGTTTAGTAGACTTTAAGCTTTAAATTGATATATCATAAGTGTCATTTGATGATACTTTTATGTCATGAAATCTTATCAGACTTGCTATGTTTTCAGATCAGTCATTATTCGCCTTAATTGATCATCATTCATTTTCTATTAATAACATCAAAACGGCATTTATATAGTTATTTTCTTCGAGCTTTAAGTTTTGATTTGATGTACCATAAGTGCTGTTCTATGATACTTTTATGTCATGACTTTCCACATACGTATATTTCAAAATTGATCAGTGTAATAGAATTGCATGGTTTCCTACAGAGAACTTATAAAACAAACTTACCGATGGACGTTAATTATTTTCCAACTATTAAACATTTTACCGTCATAGGTCATTTAACCTCATTTAGCTAATTTCACTCAAAGAGCCTTTCGCGTATTTTCATTTTCTTTTTCGCTCGTTAGTCACGTGTTGCTGTTCTCATAATTATTGCGCTAACTGGAATCTTAGCTTGATCACTTTAATTAAAGCCTGCGTTTCAACGGTTAGCGAATTCCCGAAAGGGCACATGGCATTGTGGATTTATATTTGAAACAAACAGAAGAAATAAGAAAATGTCTGCTCCGTTGTTGGTAACCTTGAAAAATTCGTCGTTTCTTCCTAAATTCGATGGTACCGAGTGCTTTTAACGATTCCAATGCTTACAGGAAAGTTAAGGTTTTACCGAATCGTTGGATTTATTTCCAACTGTTCGAAGAAGAAACGAATGTAAAAGTTTCGACGCTTTTAAGCGCGATCGTAGATCTGTCTGCAAAGTTTCGCGAACCTTTTCCCAAGTAGAACTGTCCTTCGTTACCGGTTAAATTAAAGAGATTAGATTTCGAGCCGTGTTACTTGTCCAGATTGTCTTAATTAATTAATCATCTACTTGGGTGAGGATCAGTTGCTACTTGATAAATTGCTCCCCGTGTCTGGTGTAAATTGAAATTTTCGTTTAACAGCATGGGGATCATTGGCGTAACTGGAGCTTTTTTCTGAGACGAAGTTTTTGAAAGCTGAGGTTTAAAAATCTAAAATTTTGGAATTCTGAAATTCTAGAATTTTGGAACCTTGAAATTTAACAATTATAATTAATCGTTACAAAAAGAAATTTCTATCGAAAAAGTGAAGTTCTATTTCCTCTTTCCATTAATTCTTGTCACATAGAATAGATTATTACTCAACGAAACACGTACCATCGAAATGGCGATTTTTAGTATTCTTCAACGGTGAAGGACAGCTCGTAATTCCGTGGTCTGTGTTTTACGTATTCTGTCACGGGAGATGTATTTTACACGACAGATTTCTGCTTTTTTTTTTTTTTTTTTTTTTTCAAAACCATCTGAATGGAAGTTTCACATCGAGCTCAAGGATGTCGCATAAATTGTTTACATGATGAAATAGATAAAAAAAGTCGATAGAGCTAGTACCATGCTCTATAAAATATGAAATAGTTATAAAAAAAACATTATAAATAGTAATTATTCTCAAGATCTCAACACATCCGAAAACGTATTTTATTATTTTTAGTATAAAAATACGTGTCTATTTTTATTTGAAGTCGCGTTCTTAATTTGACTCTAACAGTTGTTATACTCCAAAATAATTAATTAATTTTCTTCGATCACGAATTGATCACTCTTCTGCATCACACAGTTCTTTCTCTTCACAAGAATTCCCTTTGAAACGCGTTAATATACATACTTCAATAAAGTGTATTCCACGATATTATACAATACACCTGCTGTATCAATTCCATCGAATGAATTTAGATTCAATTCCACGTGCAGGCGATAATTGTTATTCGCTCGACGAGAATGCTCAGTGTGCATAGCTAATTTACGCGGCATTTTGAACGCTTTCGAAACTTGGAAACGCTACTCCTTCACCGTGTTGACCCATATGACCCGAGGTTGGGGTATTGCAAGAGAGATGCAAAAACGCAGCGCAAGAGATGCACCAGTAATCAACCCTTTCGTCAAATCGATTATCATTTGATAATGGAAACTTTCTTCTTTTTTTCTTAATGATCGCATTGATCGAAATCACTTGTCTCGCCCGTTAGATTCGCCAGTCTTATAGACTTTTCAATTTCGTTCACGCCGAATGTTCCGTGTGGTACATAGAGATATAGGGGCAAGGGACGTGACACGTAGAGCCGTTGAAATTTTCTCGTGCCAGCATTTCAGCAGCCATTATGGTTTTCCCATTTCCTGGATGATATCCAGGTGAAATGAAGGGAGATGGAAAGGGACAAGAATGAAAAGGGAAACACGTGCGCCTCACGGTCATGAAGTCGATAGGGAATACGAGAATAATTGGGCAGACAGGAACCGAATTTTATAATGTGTTTCTTAAATAAATATGTCAGATTATGTTTCTGAAGAGAAAGATTCTTTTAATGCAAAAAGACTATCATTATTTCATTTATGTATTGATACTTATGCCATGTTGATTTAAAGCTTAAGATTCAATTAAAATGACTGCATAAATATTTCATTAATATTTTGAAGATAGAATAATTAATGACCAGTTATAGCAAACAATTTTCAATTTTAGCACCTATAAAGTCTGGTATAATTTCATTAAAGTTTATTAAAAATGACTAAATTCTTGATTGTTAATATACAGGATGTTCGACAACAGGTGGGAAAAATTTTAAGGGGTAATTCTAGGGATCAAAATAAGACGAAAATCAAGAATAACGAAATAGCGTTTGCGGCTTTGTTTTCCAGTAATTAATATTTAAAAATTCAAGTAAGAAGCGCCTGAAACCTGCAATCCGCCATGCACCGACGACTGAACGTCAGGTCAGCAGGGGAAGGTACAGTCATAACCAAGAATCGTTGAATAGTAGAAACTTACCTCGTGCTATTCTGTTTCTCGATACTGCAGTATTCGACTTTCTCTTCTTGGTTATGACTGTACCTTCCCCTGCTGACCTGACATTCAGTCGTCGGTGCTGGGCGGATTGCAGGTTTCAGGCGCTATTTACTCGAATTTTTAAATGTTAATTACTGGAAAACAAAGCCGCAAACGCTATTTCGTTATTCTTGATTTTCGTCTTATTTTGATCCCTAGAATCACCCCTTAAAATTTTTCCCACCTGTTGTCGAACACCCTGTATATTAACAATCAAGAATTTAGTCATTTTTAATAAACTTTAAGCTTGAAATTGATGTAATGTAGATGGTACTATACACCATCAAATTGCATTTTATATAAAATAAGGTAGCTGAATATTTCTGCTTGAAAAATGAAAGAACGCGAACTGGTGGAATACCGAAATCGTTTGAAATAATAGAATATTCATAGAACAGAATATTCCATAGCATTCGGATAGTAGAAGTTTCTGCAGGAACAGTATTATTTCTATCCTTTCACGTAAACGTTTGCTCGCTTTTAATCGGTCCTGAGCTCTCCGTCGGTTGATTATTCGCGCGAAATTCTCGTTGCACCCTGCTGTCACGTGGAACAGACAGAACTCTTAAACGATCATTTCCATAATCCCGCGAACTCGTTTGTCTGCCGTCGTTCTGGATACAGAATTATTCAGGCCGGTTACATGAAGATGATTGTTCCGCGCCATGAAATCCAGAGTAGCTTGTCTCTGTCGGGTGGAGGGACCCGTCCATTAAAGAGGTCACCAAAGAAAAAAGAAAAGAAGGGAATAATTCAGGGTAACGAATGCTGAAACTGTTCGAAAAAAGTGTACCGGTATGCTTTTCGTATATACTTCACTTTTGTCGAATCAAATCGATTGCCAATCGTGCTCGATAAAATAGAGGAAGGTTTTCTGAACATTTACCAGCAGATAAATTTAGAAAACAATATTCAGTGCGATTCCAGTAACATAAAGTAAAAATATAAATTGAAATTCCATTTATTTTTCAACCTTGTCCTTTGTAATATCTGTGTTGTCTAAGCCTTTCTCTTTTTTTTTAATCATTAACACTTGTGATCCATAAATCATTTAGCCCTTAGACTATAATATGGTCTAAGATTTGATCTAATATAGTTCCTAAAATCGTGATCCAAAATCATAGGGTGCGCCACAGAATAGCTGACAAAGTTGAAGTTTTCAACCTTATCGATATTTCAGATTATGAGACCTCAATTCTAATATAATGATTGGTCTATTTTATATCTCATCTATAGTTCAGTATCCTTATTTCAATTCAAAACATCTTACATGTTCTAACAAATTAGAAAGGTACAAAGAACTGTGTATCCAAGATTTGCTTTCGTTATAATTCTTTATGTGACCGCTAGATGTCTATAGCAATTCTAAATTGAAGAACGACCAAATTCGTTTCGCTTCTCACAAACTCTTTGCGTGTGTTGAAAGCCTGATTAATTCTCCTTTAAAAATTCACATCATCCAGTTCGCGAACAAGTCTTAAGACAATCTCCAAAGTAGAATTGTCGCCGTGCCATTTGGCCGTTGAAGAGTTCGGGTCAACCGGATGAGGCGTCGCAAGGTGCAGCCGATATCTGGAAAATTGTGACTGGCTTTACGTTCGGATAAAATTTACAGCCCCGTAAAGTTGTCAAAGAAATTCCACTCTGTATCTGGCGGAAGTTGTAGCAATGAAACTTTGCGAAATAGTCGATAAATCCGTGTATAGTTCCCTCACCTTGGACTGCGCACATCAATCGCTTCCGGTTCCACTGAAAGCTCGATCTTTTCACGCGTCTCTTCCGGCATCCTTACAGATATGGACAGCCACTCGCAGGACGAAGTGCTTGGCGTTTTAAAGCCCATCTTATTTAAGAAATAAAATGTGTAATTTAACTTTCATCGTATCAGAGATGTGCAAAATTGTAATGAAATACTTAAAACTCAGATTATTTACTCCTAGAAAAACATCTTCCGCCGACACTGATTGCTTAAATTTCATTTCGTATTCCGGTACTTTTCTTGGATCATAGAATTCTAAGTTCTGTCCAGAGTCCACTTCAGATGAGTGCCAAATATCGTCGTCGTTTCTTTTTAAGGGTGCGTGTGGACCTGAGTGTTGTTGAGGTCTTCCATTTTTATTGCCAATATCGCCAGGCCCTTAAAAACATTCAATTTATGTTATTTATAATCGTATAATAGTTTTACTGTTGTAATGCTCCTATGTTTATATGTATACACTCGGGTGCAACATAGGTTGCCTATGGTTAGGGGTACACGTATGTAGGTTGCCTATAGTTAGGGGTACACGTAAAGAGTGAAGCCTCTCACTATTTATTTTAGTTTTGACAGAACCTAAGGAGACCTTAGAAAGATCCTCAAGAAGAGTCATACTGTATAGGAGTAATCAATAAGAAGGAAATATAAAATAATTAAAATGTGCAAATTTTACCTCCAACTTACCCAGTTTCCGAGCACCAGCTTGCGGTAAATCATCCTCGGAATCTGAATGATCTTTAGGAGCACTAATTAAACCTTGCAATGCCTTTAATTCCTGGTATCCAAAACAACCTTCCATTTTCTAACACTCCTTTAAATATTTTCCACAAGAACCACTAATTCCAAATGGATATAGTTGTCAAGGCAACATATTTTGAATATGAAGTCCATCAACGATGATAAAGAAATTATAGAAACCGTGTTATCTATGAATGTTTTATACGCGTTTAAACGGGGTAATAAAGGTAATAAAAAAAACCTTGAAAAAAATACGGAAATTGAAATTAAAATGATGCGCGCGAAGCAAAAAATTGATGTATTGTCGCATGGAATCAGTTTGCAGGTTTGCCAATTTAGAAGGAAGAGTCCTTTTTAGAGGAGGTTTACCAACATGGCTGACAATACGGGTGAAAAACTATCAAAAAAGTGAGTAAAATAATGATACCGACCGAAAATTAATTACACGATTGTTGTATCATATGTTTACAATAGACTTTCTATTATCTGCGCTTATAATTTCAACGTAACCTATGTGTAGCAATATTTGGGGTCATGGATTGACTACCCACGTTGTGTTACAAATATCCACCTATATTGAGACACTTTCCAAAAGTGTTATATAGCAGTACCTTGTAAAAATTTGTAATTAAATACATCTATTGTATATAAATGTTCATAAATTATTGATACAGTAATAGCAGTATAATTAATTAACTATGCTGAATAACATAACCAAAGCTTTTGTTGACGTGGTACTACCGGTACTTTGTAATGCAAAATCAACAAAATTACATGAGATATCTATACGTCATTTTTACACGAAGTGCGTACGATACAAAAGATTGTGTTTATATATGTAAAAGGAAATACAACTTTGCTTTACATATTTCAATCACGTTTGCAGTGAGTTAAAGAGACGACTGAAGGCAGAACAAAAATTAAAAGAGAAAACGGAGAAAGAAGCAAAAGTATCTGCTGTAGCAGCAGCAAAACCACAAGCCAAAACTATAGAGAAAAAGGATGATGAAGAGAATATTAGCCCAAATGTGAATATATTAAGATACATCTTTTGTTCAAAGGAGTATCTACATAATTATATAGATACTTGTTACATTGTTTAATATCTGAATTGTATGTTTTATTTTTAGGAGTATATTAAACTTAGGACACAAGCAATCAATCACCTGAAAAATATAAATGAAAATCCATATCCACACAAGTTTCACGTATCAATGTCTATGGAAAATTTTATTGAAAAATTTAGCAACACCATAAAGAATGGAGAAGTATTACAGAATGAAGTACATAGCATTGCTGGTCGTGTGTTTGCAATTAGAGAGTCTGGTGCTAAACTTATTTTTTATGACCTCAGAGGAGAAGGCCTTAAAGTTCAAGTCATGGCAAATGCAAGACATTATAGCAATGAAGAAAAGTTTGCCATTGATATTGCTAAAATAAGAAGAGGTGATATTATCGGGGTTGTTGGAAATCCTGGAAAAACTAAGAAGGGTGAATTCTCTATTATGCCTCATGATATTACCCTTTTAAGTCCTAGCCTGCATATGTTGCCAACGCTTTATTTTGGATTACACGACAAGGTACAAAGGATACAACACAATTCTTAATTCAAGCTGCAGGATAGTGCTAATAATAATGATGCTGTTTTTACTTCTGTAGGAGACAAGATTTCGTCAGCGCTATTTAGATCTTATTCTAAACGACAAAGTGAGACAAACATTTCACATACGAGCGAAAATAATCGCATACGTTCGCAAATTTCTTGATGAACTTGGTTTTTTAGAAGTTGAAACGCCAATGATGAATATGATTGCTGGTGGAGCTACAGCTAAACCTTTTATCACACACCATAATGAATTAAATATGGATTTGTATATGCGTATTGCTCCAGAATTATATCTAAAGGTAATAAACACTTACATATATTTACGCATCATAATTATGAGTATGTTAGTACATCACTGTCTCTATGGCTGTAGATGTTGGTTGTTGGCGGAATGGATAGAGTATATGAAATTGGAAGGCAGTTCAGAAATGAAGGAATAGATTTAACACATAACCCAGAGTTTACTACTTGTGAATTTTATATGGCATATGCGGATTATAATGACTTAATGTCTATTACTGAAGATATGGTATCTGGAATGGTGAAAACCATACATGGTAGTTATAAAATAACCTATCATCCAGATGGACCAGAGGGTGAAGCAGTGGAGATTGATTTTACTCCTCCGTTTAAACGAATTTCGATGATGAAAACCTTAGAGGAGATGTTAAAAGTTAAATTACCTCAAGCAGACCAATTAAACACGCCTGAAGCAAATCAGATACTTAGCGATATATGTACTAAACATGAAGTTGAATGTCCTCCCCCAAGAACAGCAGCTAGATTGCTAGACAAGGTAAAGACTATTTCTTAATTTCTAAGTTATGTGTAATTATGTTTATATATATATACATCTAGTATAAACATTGTTAACAGCTTGTTGGCGAATTTATAGAAGAAACTTGTATTAATCCTACATTTATCTTGGACCATCCGCAAATTATGTCGCCGTTAGCGAAGTGGCATCGTTCGGAGAAAGGTTTGACGGAACGGTTTGAGTTATTTATCATGAAGAAGGAAGTCTGTAACGCATATACAGAGTTGAATGATCCTATAGTACAAAGAGATAGGTGATGTATTTAAACAAAATCTTTATCAGTTCTAATTAGAGTAAGGAATTAAAACAATATGTATTACAGATTTGAACAACAAGCAAAGGATAAAGCAGCCGGGGATGACGAAGCACAGTTAATTGACGAGAACTTTTGTACTGCTTTAGAATATGGTTTACCGCCAACCGCTGGGTGGGGAATGGGTATTGATCGTGTTACTATGTTCCTCACAGATGCAAATAATATAAAGGTAATTATTTTACGTTACAGCCAATTAATAGTATCCTAAATGTATTCTCATATACTTACAGGAGGTATTACTATTCCCACAAATGAGACCAGATGATCCAAATAAAAGCAAAGAAGTAGTTGAAGATAATAAAACATCTAATAATAGTAATTTAAGTGAAGTCAACAAATAAAAACTGATACTGTGTTCCTTTCCACAGTGTGCAAATCATTCTTTGAAAACATGTTTTAAATGGTAAATAAATTTTTCTTTTAAAAGGAAAAAAGTTAATATTTTATTACTTTCAGTACATATTTTACACATATTATTTATTATTAAATAGTAAAAAATTCTAGGAACACACGAGGAAAGTATTACCATATATTTACACAGACACACAATACCTTTATTACAATCACTCAATTTGCATACAATAATTAAATATATATTATCCAAAAAAGAAAAAACAATAAAACATAAATTATACTTAAATATATATTTACATCAAAATATTATTAAGCAAGCAAGTACTGAACAATAATATGTACTTGCAATTTGCTGGCAGCTTTTTTATATTGTCAAATATTTAGGTGATAAATAAATAAAATTTTGTGATATAATACAGTATTCTTTCGAAAAGAATCCTGAAAAATTCTTCACAAAGTGTCGTGTTGTTATTCTCATCATTTCCTGAAACTTTCAGCCCAATCTATGTTTTGAGCTTATCCAAGCACAATTAACATTAATAACACTACACCTCTGTTCTAGTACTTTTCAGAAGTATACTGTAATTAGAAACGCAAAAAAACATATTCCTTTCACATTGATAATAATGTCTTAAATCTAAATTACTATGAACAAAAATTACAAATTTGTTTTATATATATATACATATATAAGATGTCAATTAAAGTTATCAGAGAAACATTGAAATCTTAATTTGACTGATATGTTTCCTGAGCACTGAGTTTGTGGCAGCTCTTTAAATGGTTTGTATATTCTATTGTAGGATAAAGTATTAGGAAATTATGTGTTTAATTTCCATTGTAGGTTTAGTGAAAACTATGCATTTTCATCAGCTTTCTTCTTCTTTAACATATTTTGTAACTGAATTATAATGAGCACCTAGTTCATACATATGACGATGATAAGTTAATATCATCTTTTTCTCAGTACTGTAGCTTTCGCCAATAATGTATGGTGCACCTGATGCTTGAATCACTTCTATTGGGCATTTCAGTACATGAGAAAGAACTTGTAGCTAATTTAAACAAAAATAATTATATAAAGATATTGTAATTATATACATATTATTTTTTTAAAGTATTTTACAGATAAATTTAGCTTACCTCGATAGCACCTCCCCAGGCATTTGTATCTGCAACATCATCACAATACTTCTTGTACTGCTCTGGCGAAAGAAAATCATCAGAATCTGGATTGGAAATGAATGGCAAAAATTCATTCATATTTTCCCTCAAGTATATACCAGTTTTTATTCTAAGTTCTTGAAAATTCAATGGAGTTTCTCCTATAATTTTCAGCTGATGTGCAACAGCATTATACAAACTATAAAAATACAATCATAAGTACTTAGAATTACTATTAAATCAGTATGAATGATTACTTACCAATGACCATCACTTGGAATCTCATAAATCATTAAACCACGTTCAAAAAGAATTTTTTTTATGGTTTGTATCTCCACATTTCTTTTTCCAAAAACATTAAGTGCTTCTTCTTCTATTATCCTTTGGTTGCGTTCTTTTTCTGCATTTGCTTTCTTGTCTCTTCTTTTCTGGGCTTTGGAAATTCTTTGTGTTGACTGTTCATTTTGCACATTACTTTTTATGCTTTCATTACTACATTCTTCTATATTTTCATTTTCTACATTATTAATATTAAGATGTACAACTTTCCATGTAGTCAATTCTTCATCCTGCCTCTTTTCCAGAGCCTCTTCTAAACGACCAATCTCTTCTGTTATTTCCTTTTTCTTTTTTTTGTCACCCTTACAAATTGACTTTTTCAACGTTTGTATTTGTGCTTAAATTTAACAGATGTTAATGATTTATAAATGAATAACATATCTTAGACGTATAAATCTAAAGTAAAAATATCAAAACCATAATTACCTTGTAGTTCTTTACGTTCTTTTTTATGTTTCAGTGTTAATTCTTCCTCTGTTAATTCTATTTCTGCCATTTTAATTTAGAGGTTAATTAAAAAATAATTTATTTTGAGGTTAAGAAAGAAAATACTATGCATAACAGTAACTACAAATCCAACAAGACTAGACATGCCTTTATTTTCAAGGGCTTTTAAATTTATCCCTTGAGAACAAACGCCATCTGCTACCGAAGTCAAGCTAACGATAAGTGGGCACGGGTCTCGCCAAAGATGGGTGACCAGGGGCTGTTAGCAAACGAATAAGCGGAAAGCGAATAACGAATAATAAATAATGAAACAAATAAGGCAATGTAATGTAAAAAAAAGTAATGCAAATAATTGACAAAAAGGTTCGTCGGGCAAAAGAGGGGCTAAAAGCCTCTACAAAGTGCCATTCTGGGGAGGGGGATTGACGAAAAGGGTTGATCTCATTCCTACCTCGGATAAACCATTAAAGTAAAGGTATAAAAATATGAAACACTTCGCATTGCAACAGTCTAACGCACTAGACTGTTGGTAATAGCAGATTACTTCGATATCCAAAGACTATCCCATCATTCATCGTCAGGGTCTCGACCTCACCCTCGACATATTACAGCAATAAGAGGAGCAGCAAGGGAAGATTAATGCAGCCCTTCTGGAAGCACTAAATATGACGGCTTCACCACCAAAATCGGTGGAGCCGTCAGGGCTGCTGGCGCCAGGAGTGGGGGCTCTGGGCGCCTTTGAGTACGCGGCCCAGCAAGCCGGTACCGGGTCCGACCCCGGTGTGGACCACAGGGTAGGCAGCAAGGGGAGGTTTGAATTTGGACCTCCCCTGAGATGGAGGCCTGTGTACCAGACGTGGAGGGTTCTGGAGTAATACACATAAGGTCCCGGAGCCCTCCTTTAGCGCCAGAGTCGGTCGCCGTGGGGTTTTAGTCAGTAGGAATCTGACACTCCCCCGCCGCTTTCCCCCAGGGGACGGTGGGGGGTCTTATGCAAGATTTCCCCACGTTAGAAAGAAAAAATAAATATTTAGCGTCACTGATTCCAGTAAAGGTAGCTGGCTGCGGCATCGTTATCAACCGTTCGACCTAGAGCGAAGTGAAACAGCATCAGTCTTATAGCGGCCACCGAAGGGTACAGATCTACCTGCTAAACATACATATACCCTTATTTTATTTTCTGCGTTAACTTAATCTGCTGTATTTATCTTCTTAACTTATTCAATAAACTCATTAGGAGGAAGAACGTGTTGATTTCATTACTCCTGTGTGCATCCTATACATCTCTGATTCCTTTTTGATTAATTTCTGCATCCCTTACATGATGTAAGTTATATCCCTGCATTATTTACATCGCAGCTTTCCTTACATCACTGCATCCTTTACATCCCTGCTTTCTTTATATCCTTGCACCCTTTACACCTATGTCACCCTAACACCCTTTCTATCTCCTACGCCCTTCAACCCTTTACATCTTCCTGTTCCTCTTACAACCCTGCTTCCCTTATAGCCCTGCATTCCACAAATCACTCTAGTCCCTACATTCTGCGGTGCCTTACTAGTACATTCTTTTATCACTTACATCATTGAAATGACGCTTTCGGCGTTCGTAACAGCGCGGTCTAGTGACGAAACAGGAACTAAAGTACGAATAAATTTAGTGTCCTTTGGCAAACAAAATCTGAACTAAATTTTCCCCGAAAAGAGCGCCCTCTGGTAGCGAAAAAGGGAACTAAAGTACGAATAAATTTAGCGCCATCTGTCGAACAAAATCTGAACTAAATTTTCTCCGAAAAACAGCGCCCTCTAGTGGCGGAAGGGCGAACTAAAGTACGAATAAATTTAGCGCCATCTATCGGACAAAATTTGAACTAAAATTTTCCCGGAAAAACGGCGCCCTCTAGTGGCGAAAATGGGAACTAAAGTACGAATCCATTTAACGCCGTCTAGCGGACAAAATTTGAACTAAAATTTTCCCGAAAAACAACGCCCCCTAGCAGACAAAATTTGAACTAATTTTTGCACGATTTTTCTCTCTGTGGTGCAGGAATGCAGAGATGTAAGGGATGCAGGGATATAAAGAGGGCAGGAATGTAGAGGATCCAGTGATGTACGGGACGCAGAGATATAAGGGATGTAGACATGTAAGGGATGCAGGCATGTAAGGGATGCAGACAGGTAAGGAATGCAGACATGTAAGGGTTGCAGGAACATAAAGAAGGCAGTAGTCCATAAGGTCTTGGTCCGTAAAGAGGAGTAGGATATTAATGGTTAGGAAGTGTGGCTCATAAAGAAGAATAAAATAATTAATAACTGAAAAGGGTTGGCTTTGGCCTATACAGAGAAATAAAATAATAAATAACTGGAAAAAGTGAAATAAAAGGAATGGTCGTCCGAGATCCAAAAGAGAGATATCATAAATGTTTTTCCCCTCTGCTTATTTAATTAATTGCTTATTTAATAAGCAAAGAAAATAAATAAAGTAAATTAAATAAACTCCGGAAGGAAATTAGAGTTATATGTATATTTGACAAATTGATCCGCACCCATCGGCTGTCGGTATAGGACTGAGGAGGTTGCACCTCGTTCTAGGTCAAACTTCTCATATTGGGAAGTAATTACTGTATATTCTGTTTGTAATTTATTAAAGATCAAGCAGTTATTTTATATATAAATAACTGAGAAACGATGTTAAGTACATTGAATAACTAAAATGATAGAAGAATATAAGTCAATTAAATAAATAGCTGAGAAAAGAAATTACGAGCATTAAATGAATAACTCGGAAGGGAAATTGGGTGAATTAAATAATAACTGAGGAGTTGCTTTTTTAAAATGATTTATTTACCAAAGCACATGAAGTGAATACAAGTTTGTCTTGCAATTATTTTAATAATATTTCGGTGTTGTTCTAGTTTTAATTATTTAAAATAGAGTCAAAGGGAGTCAAAATTATGTCTTTTCAGTAGCCTATGCGAGGTATAGTAAAAGAACTTGTGATATGTAAGTATATATATGTACAATAGCACCGACGAGATACTGTTAGGCACGATTGCCATACCGACTGTCTTCCATACATGTAGTCCTAACTGCGCCTGGGGGTGTCTGGGAACCCAAAATCATGACCTCTCGAGTACAAAGGCATGTCCAGTCTTCTTCTATTTATAGTCACTGGACATGATATGCAAAGAATGTTTTATAGAATTTTCATGAATCGTTAAACTTGTCGGTTGTGTTGTCTATATGTAAATAATGGTGGTTTTTGTTAAATACAAGTTTGTCAAGCAATTATTTTAAGAATTTTTCGGTCTTGTGAAAAAAAGAGGGTGGTAAGACAAGCACGACTGTCATACCAACTGTGTTCTGTATGTATGTGAGTACATATATATGGATATATGTACTTATATGCGGCCTTCTCCCATGCATTTTTACCATTTTTACTTTCCTGAGGATCGCCTCCAGGAAGGGGAACCTCATGGTGAACTCGGAACCAGCGAATGGGACCCGGATCATCGCCATTTTCTCTAGGGATGCCTATTTAGTTTCTCTATCCACCTTTAGATAGCACCAGTAACGCTGTTTTAAAAGACGCATAGATATGCCATTCAAAAGTGTATAAAAATAACGATTGCACAATACTTTCACCTTATTACAATAATTGTTTTGCAATAACATGATATCTTTCCCTATTATTACTTTCTTCTGTTACAATTATCATTGTGAGAGCTGAAAGGAGTAGAACTAGAACGTCGTTGATACTGACGATGAGTAAAAAACAAAAGGATGAAAATAGAAATAGATAATAGAACAAATAATTTGTTAGGGATCGATTTCTGTATACCTCTCCTTACTAAATTATTTGCCAGACATGCAACAAAACTTTTTGCCCTTTCTCTTATCTTAGTAATGTTCAGTTTTGATGCTGATAAAGCTATAAACGTAAAAGAAGTGCATGCAATTCATTTATCAACTTTGGAATGCTATCGCAAAAAGACATGGAAAAAGGAATATCCTGTTTGTGATTAAAGATAACATATGTGTACAACCTAGAGAGCATTCGTCGAATGTAAAGAGCATGGAATTTTAGAGAATGATTATGTATTGGTCGATGCTGTTTAACTATGGTAGCCAATCGTTTCTAAGTGCTTGCTAAATCGGTCGTTCCATTCGCTTGTTTCGCAATCCAATGATTAGGGCGCATTCAAATGCAAAATTCATGATGTAACGTTAATCAACGATATCGCAACAGAAAAAGAACAGGAAGATATCCAGAAAAATTTCACCGTGAAAATTATCATTCCTTAGCTTGACATCTATATTTAATAGTGTGTCGTTTCGAGAATATTGTAAAATGTGTACAGAATAAAAAAAGACAGGCCTTTGTTTCACGACAAACGCGCTATCGCTGTTTTACCGATCGTACAAAACCTCATCCCCACTTTATCTAGGAAGCATCGAAACTGCGATTGCTGCTGGTGCGACTGCGAGGGAGCAGCAACAGAGTGGATGAAAGAACGAGAATCATTCTTGGATGGACAGTGGTATCGTTCTAAAGTACTGATACAATTTAGAACGGGTAAGCTGGAAGCGACAAGGAACGTAGAACAGGAGAGAGGTGCGGTGAGAGAGCGGGAGCGTGTGGCAAGGTCGGTGCGTGCGGTGAAGTTCCAAGCTTTATTAAAGTGCAGTCGGCCGGGTTGAAAAACAATCGACGGACATAATACGGCGCTCCGTGAAGTCCGATGTCTAGTGCTGAGGTGGTGGAGAGCTCCGTTGACCCCCCAGCCAAGAAGCGACGCGTTGCTGCCACCACGGGAGGAGCCGACGACTCGACGACGATCGCAGACATGGCGAAAAATGGTTCGACGTCCCGCGCTTCCGCCGAAATTGACGAGGGTCTTTATTCAAGGCAGCTTTATGTTCTCGGCCATGACGCCATGCGTCGCATGGCATCCTCTGATGTCCTGATATCCGGTCTTGGTGGTCTTGGCGTTGAAATTGCGAAGAACGTCATACTCGGTGGCGTCAAATCCGTTACATTGCACGATGACGCGTTGTGCCAGATCTCAGACCTCGGCTCGCAGTTCTATCTTACCGAGGCAGACATAGGTGAGCGCTTTGACCCGCGTGAATTGCTAAACACGTGAACGCTTTTAATAGGAACACTTTTCCTTATTCTTCGACATCGAAATCTTTATATCTCAGATTGGTTAACACTGCGCAATTTTATACTTCGATGATATTTAAAAAAAAAAAAAAAAAATTTGAACGCAAATATAAAACTTGGGTGTACAATCGGTATTAAATTTATAAGTAATAATACTAAACTTTGTTTTGTTCATTTTGCAGGTAAAAATCGAGCTGTTGCTTGTTGCCAACGTTTATCCGAACTGAACAATTATGTACCCACACGTTACTATACTGGTTCCTTAACCGAGTCTTATATCAAGAAGTTTAAGGTTGTGGTTGTGACTGAGGCATTGCTGAAAGAACAATTACGTATTTCTGAAATTACTCATGCAAATGACATAGCACTTATCATAGCGGATACCAGAGGCCTATTTTCTCAAGTCTTTTGCGACTTTGGGAATGCATTTACTGTGGTTGATACGACTGGTGAACCACCTGTCAGTGCTATGGTTGCTAGCATCTCGCAAGATACAGAAGGTGTTGTCACATGTTTGGATGACACGCGTCATGGCATGGAGGATGGTGACTATGTTACATTCTCTGAAGTACAGGGAATGACAGAATTAAATGGTTGTGAACCAATTAAGATAAAGGTTCTTGGCCCGTATACTTTCAGCATTGGGGAGACATCAAAATATTCTGAATATATAAGAGGTGGTATAGTAACACAAGTAAAAATGCCAAAGATTTTACGCTTTGCTACTTTGAAGGAAGCTCTGAAGAAACCAGAATTCCAGGTCACTGATTTTGGAAAGTTTGATTATCCGGAACAATTACACTTGGCTTTTACGGTGTTACATCGTTACATAGACACTAAAGGAAAATTACCTACACCCTGGAACCAAGAGGATGCAGATGAATTTTTGGCTCTAGCTAAAACAATAAAAGAAGAAACAGGCAGCGAAATTGAAATCAATAAAGAGCTGTTTGAGATATTTGCAAAGATATCAGCGGGAAACTTAAATCCAATGAATGCTACCATTGGAGGAATTGTAGCACAAGAAGTGATGAAAGCTTGTTCCGGCAAATTTCATCCAATTTATCAATGGTTGTATTTCGACGCTATCGAATGTTTACCCGCGAATCGATCCGAGCTTACAGAAGAAGATTGCTGTCCAATTGGATCGCGTTACGATTCACAGATAGCTGTTTTTGGGCGCAAATTCCAATCGAAGATTGGAAGTTTGAAATACTTCGTTGTTGGAGCCGGAGCTATAGGTTGTGAATTACTCAAGAATTTCGCAATGTTGGGTGTTGGTGCTGAGAGTGGTAGCGTAACAGTTACCGACATGGATTTGATAGAAAAATCAAACTTGAATAGACAATTCCTATTTAGGCCATCGGATGTTCAGCAATCTAAATCATCAACAGCAGCCAGAGTCATAAGGAGTATGAATCCAAGTATGAAAGTAATTGCTCACGAGAACAGAGTTTGCCCAGAAACAGAAAAAATATATAATGATGATTTCTTTGAGGTGTTAGACGGAGTAGCAAACGCATTAGATAACGTAAATGCACGTATTTATATGGATCGTCGTTGTGTATATTACAGGAAGCCCCTGTTAGAATCTGGTACTCTAGGTACAAAGGGTAATACCCAAATTGTTGTTCCATTTTTAACTGAATCTTATAGTTCGTCTCAAGATCCGCCAGAGAAGAGTATACCGATCTGTACGCTAAAGAATTTCCCCAATGCTATAGAACATACTTTACAATGGGCTAGAGATAATTTCGAAGGTTTATTCCGTCAGGCTGCGGAGAATGCTGCTCAATATATATCTGATCCACAATTTGTGGAGAGAACATTAAAACTGCCTGGAGTTCAGCCATTAGAAGTATTAGAATCAGTCAAAACAGCTTTGGTCGATGAACGACCAAAAAGTTTTGCCGACTGCATTGCGTGGGCTCGTTGCCATTGGCAAGAGCAGTATAGTAACCAGATTAGACAACTCCTGTTCAACTTTCCACCTGATCAAGTGACATCCAGTGGCCAACCATTCTGGTCTGGACCTAAGAGGTGCCCTGAACCACTCAAGTTCAACGTGAACGATCCGCTCCATTTGGATTACATCGTAGCCGGTGCTAACTTAAAAGCAAAGGTCTATGGAATTCCCATAAACAGAAATCGTGAGGAAATAGCTAGGATCGTTAGCGCCGTACAAGTTCCGCCCTTTACGCCGAAATCTGGAGTAAAAATTGCTGAGACAGATTCACAGGTGCAAGTATCCAATGGAAGCGGAAACATTGATCACGAAAGACTCACTCAGTTACAAGAAGAATTGCCCAAGGTTGACGAGCTTAATGGTTTAGTAATTCATCCACAAGAATTCGAGAAGGATGACGACTCCAATTTCCATATAGATTTCATCGTAGCAGCTTCAAATCTTCGTGCAGCTAACTACAAAATCCCTCCCGCTGATCGACACAAGAGTAAACTAATTGCTGGAAAAATAATACCAGCTATTGCTACTACCACCTCGGTGGTCGCGGGTCTTGTTTGTCTCGAATTGATCAAGTTAACACGCGGCGTGAAAGATTTGTCTATTTACAAGAATGGTTTCGTCAACTTGGCTCTACCATTCTTTGGTTTCTCGGAGCCTATCGCTGCACCGAAATTGAAGTACTACGACACTGAATGGACACTGTGGGATCGATTCGAAGTCAAAGGAGAACTAACGCTCAAAGAATTCTTAGATTACTTCAAAGAGCATCATAATCTTGAAGTTACTATGTTGTCTCAGGGTGTCTGTATGCTGTACTCGTTCTTCATGGCTAAGCCTAAGTGTCAAGAACGTATGGGCCTGCTAATGTCAGAGGTAGTGAAGAAGGTATCGAAGAAGAAACTGGAGAACCATGTTCATGCATTGGTATTCGAACTTTGCTGTAACGACACTGATGGCAACGACGTGGAAGTACCGTATGTTCGCTACACCTTGCCATGAAACGTCGTTCGAGTCACCGGTTAATAAGAGATGTCTACTTAACTGACTTAGCCGTAGTAATTTCTACAAATTTCTATTTTAAAATACGATACAGGAAATCTATTAATCTTTGTCTACGTAAGCCTTTCAAAGTAAACTTTCATTTTTTTTTTTCTGTTGTTTTTTTTATTGCCAATGCTTCGTAGCATTTATAATAGCAAGCAAGCAAGTGCGGGATCCACTGAGTTTAATCTTACTATGATCTCCCTTTTTGCTGAAAATCAACTCCAGGACTCGCGACCATTTATTTCATTTATATCGCATCCTGCTATTCTCAATTGATCTATTCGACAACCATAAATTGCATGTTTCGTTTGCTTTTCAATCAACGATATTTTCTAACGAAAACTAGCATTATAAAATTATTTGAACTGTCGATAAAGAGATGTAAGTGATTGAAAATTTGTACGAGAGAATTTGCATTACGATGTTTATAAAACGTTGGGAAGAAAGAAAAAGGAAAGTATGATGATAAAATGTTGCTGAAGAATTTTGTCCATATTGGATCATAAAGGGAATTGTCATGGTAAGAATTGTCTTAGGACTCACGCGTCACGACTTTATGTATAGAATCGAATGTAAAAAATTATCGAATGATAACTCAATGATCCTTAGACGAATAATGCTAGCACATTTAATATAGGCCATAGATAAACGTGAGAATAAAAAAAAAACCGAACACAAATGTATCTTGCCTTTACTGAATCACCTTTTTCTTTTTTTTTCTTCATTTTCTATTTACGGTTATTTTGTGGTCAAGGGTATGCGAACAGAAGGAAAGAATAAAAAATCGCAAGCTCTTTTTTCCCCCCCTCCCCTATTTCTAATCGAGTACGCTCTTGCTATTAAACCCGATATTTTAAGATTTTATGTAATCAATATATTATCAATGATTTTGATTTCACCATTTTATTTTTCGAATGTACTATTGGCTAAGGCTGTTTGTTGTTACAATAAGGAATACTGCATTTAAATTTGTAAGAACACGTTTTGGAAAGAAGCTTCGAAAAGAATTTCACACTTTAGACCAAGGAATACAAGAAAGAAAAAAAAAATAAGGAAGATATTTTGTTAATTTTAGAATAATACGGATATTTATTGTATTACTTTATCAATAGATAATAAATAGATGTGTTTGGATTTCAAGAGACATGAAAAATATAATAATGAAAATAAAGTTTGGAAATTGTCTTGCTTTGCACGTCCTTCCTTTAATTTTAAGATCATTCAAGAACTAAGAAGAATAATAGAAAATCTACTTTTTTTTTGCTTATAAGATCAAGTTCATTTTTACAATTATGATTTTGTTTTATTTAACGTACGTATTTACGATTCTTATAAAATAAAATTAAACTCAGAAATTTTCAAAATGCTTTCTAATTTGCAATGCTAATGAAACTCTATTTACGCGTTATGACTTTTTTGAATTCTGTTTACGTCGGTTAGATTAACGAATCAAGCTTGCCATATGAATCCTTATAAAGGTTAAAAACCGCGGAAAAATGACACAACGTAGTATTTCGTAAGTAATTCATACCACTGTTCTATAAAAAAGATTTATGAGCTAGTTTTATCGTTGTTTGTAGATCGTTCTTTATAAAAACCTCGTCGAAAAGTGATAATGTTGATAAAAGCAATATAAGGTAAGTTGCGAGTCGCTTAATAGTATGTAATGTTCAGGCTCAGGCGCATTGCCAGCTGCACAGTATACTATATATACAGTAACAATTCCCAACGTTTATTATTTATAAATAAAGTACATGAGTCAAACAATGTTTCTCTACCAACCGTAAATAATTTTCTGCATTGGATACATTTTAACAGTTCGCTTACTAAGGAGGATAAAGATAATCAAGACAGTGTTAAACGAAAAAGAAATGATCAGAATGAAACTACGGAGTAAGTAAAAATTACGTTCATGCCTTTTCTGTGTTTTTCATTCGAATTTTCGAAAATCTACCTGCTTGTCTAGATATGTCTTCGGATATGTTCTCGGACCGTGAATGTTTAACCCGACATTCCTGCACTTTGATTCATTGTGTTTTACTGAGTTTCAGAAAAATTTCACATTTACATAAGATGCTTATTATCATTGTGTGATCACTTTTTTTTAGTCATTCATTGGCAGAAAACAATACCACCAAAAAATCACCTTCCTCATTAGAAAAAGTAAATAATAAAACAGGTGTGTAACTAGATCTTATATGTAATGTGCTATATTGTTTTTAATATTATTGCGATTTTAAAGGTGCAACACTCAAAACAATATTATCTGGAACATCAAAGTTCCATGAAAGCAGTGGATCTAAAAGGAAGAAAAGCGCAGATAAGGTAAAAGAAGATAGCGCCAAGAATACACCTGCACAGAAAAAAATAAAAAAACCCTCATTGGTGAAGAATCAAAAAGAAAGCACAAATTTAAAAAGGAAAAGTGAATCAACTTCCTCTAGATCTGATTCGTCCAAATCATCTGATGAATTAGATGAATCAGATAAAGTGGAAATAAAAAAGACTTCTGGTAAAAGTAGAAAGAGACTGAGAATAATATCACCTGTTGATTCTAGCGAGGAAGAAGAAGTTTTAACAGTATGTAGATTATACATTCGTTATATAGCTTTTAGAAATGTAATTATAATTTAATATTTAATTGTTAGTTTTCGGAAAGTCCAAAAAAATCAAACAGTAATGTGGAAGAAAAAGTTTCAACTAAAGAAAAAGAAAAATCTGATGAAGAAACTGGGGGCAATGAAGAAAATAACGAAGAAGGAAAAACTGATACAAAAGAAGACAGTACAGAAAAACCTGCTAAGAAAATACATAGCTTTTTTGGTAAATATTACATTATTACATTTATAAATATATAGATATATTAATATAATTTATATATTATTTTTAGCACAAAAGGGAAATACAAAGAATACTTCTGGAGATAAGATAAAATCTGTTGATAAGTCTTACGATCCTAGTACGTCTAATTATCACCCAATTGATGATGCCTGTTGGAAGAAGAATGAAAAGTATGTTTTAAACTATTTTACTTTATTAATGCGTTATCTACTGTAATATGTACAATTTTTTTTGTCAGAATACCGTATATCGCATTAACGCGCACCTTGGAATTAATTGAGGAAACAAGTGCGCGCCTGAAGATAATCGAAATTTTGTCCAATTATTTTCGTTCCGTCATAGTTTTAAGTCCAAACGATTTACTTCCAAGTATATACTTATGTCTGAATCAGTTAGGTCCCGCATATGAAGGTAAGTGCTTGTAATGTATCTTTAGAAACATTTTTCAAATAAATGTTATCCTTATTTCAGGACTTGAGTTAGGTATAGCGGAAACAAATCTTATGAAAGCGATAGCGCAATGTACTGGTAGAACTTTAGCTCAAATAAAAGCAGATGTTCAAGAAGTTGGAGATTTGGGTATTGTAGCAGAAGGAAGTCGTTCCAATCAGAGAACAATGTTTCAACCTGCTCCATTAACAGTATCCAATGTATACTCTAAACTGAAGGAAATTGCGCAAATGACCGGTTCTGCAGTACGACATTTATTAATACTACTAAGCACTTCGTAACTATATTAAAATATAAACGTAATATTTTGTTGCAGTCAACGACCAAGAAATTAGACAAAATTCAGTCACTTTTTGTAGCGTGTCGCTTTACTGAAGCTAGATATTTAATTAGATCCTTGGCGGGTAAACTTCGAATTGGTTTAGCAGAACAGTCTGCTTTACAGGTAAGTATGTTTATACCATATCGCGATTAAATTATACAATTAATGATCAATATTTATAGGCTTTAGCATTAGCATGTGTAACAACTCCACCAGAGCAGACCGATCCAGTAGTTTTGGATGCACGTAAAAGCATGTCAAGTGATTCTTTCAAACAGAAATATGAGAAAATCGCACTTACTCTCAAAACAACATATTGGTAAATATTTTTATCCTATTTGGGCTCTCTGAACTTATTATCTGACGTTATCATTTAAATCATATAAAATATTTTTTCTCAGTGAATGTCCGAATTACGATAAGATAATCCCTGTTATACTGAAAGAAGGAGTTGAAGCGTTACCGAATAAATGTAAACTTACACCCGGTATACCTCTGAAACCTATGTTAGCACATCCTACTAAAGGCGTTCAAGAAGTATTGACACGTTTTGAGGGAATGAAATTTACTTGTGAATGGAAGTACGACGGGGAAAGAGCACAGGTTTATATCTTATCATCTGGAGTACTGTCACTACGTTCTAATTACTATAATTAAAATATCGGATACATTTTATAGATACACCTAGCTGAAAACGGTGAAGTTAGCATCTACAGTAGGAATCAAGAAAATAATACCAGCAAATATCCTGACATTATAGGACGATTTAATAATACAAAAGGAGAAAACGTTAAAACTTGTATTCTGGACTGTGAAGCGGTAGCGTGGGACGATGAAAATAAAAAAATTCTACCATTCCAGATACTTAGCACAAGAAAACGAAAAGTAATAGAAAGATTCCTTAAACTTAATAGAAATTTTCTATATGTGCAATTTTATTACAGGATGCAAATGAAGCCGACATTAAAGTACAGGTGTGTGTATTTATTTTCGATTTGTTGTATTTGAATGGAGAACCATTAGTGAAGCAGCCTTTTATAAAACGTCGAGCTTTACTAAAAGAAAATTTCAAAGAAGCAGAAGGGGAATGGAAATTTGCAAATCATTTAGATACCTCGAGTATGGAGGAGGTGCAAGACTTTTTAGACGAATCGGTCAAAGGTTATTATATTCTTTTTTTATGAATTAACAAATAGGAAAATAGCAGAAAGTATACTGTACTGTATAATAATATTTGAATAGGTAATTGCGAGGGTCTTATGGTGAAGACATTGGAACAAGATGCAACGTATGAAATAGCAAAACGGTCTCGAAATTGGTTAAAACTGAAGAAAGATTACTTAGATGGTGTAGGTGATACGTTGGACGTAGTTGTTATTGGTGGGTATATAGGAAAAGGTAAACGAACAGGAACGTACGGAGGATTTCTTTTGGCTTGTTACGATCAAGAAAATGAAGAATATCAGAGTATTTGTAAGGTAAATATTAACAATTCCAATCTTCGAATGAATATAATATACATGATTCTACAATGTAATATATTTTCATTTAGATTGGTACTGGTTTCACTGAAGAGGATCTTCAAAAACACAGTGAATTCTTGAAGGAGCATATAATACCAAAAAGTAAGCCGTACTACCGTTACGATCCATCACTTGAACCTGATCATTGGTTTGAACCCGTTCAAGCTTGGGAGATCAAATGCGCAGATTTGTCTCTATCACCTGTTCATAAAGCAGCAGTGGGTATCGTTGATCCAGAAAAGGGTATATCCTTACGATTTCCACGATTTATTCGTATTCGCGATGATAAAAGTAGCGAGGATGCCACTTCAGCCCAACAGGTTGCAACAATGTATAAAAGTCAAGAGCAGATAAAGAATCAAGCTCCAACGAAGTTAACAGAAGAAGACTTTTATTAGATTTACTTCGTACTATTATAGGGATATTTAAAAGTAATAACTCTGCAAAATCACTATTACTTTTAAGGTTCTGTATAATCGGGTTGCGAAAATCATGAAGTTGTTTTAAAAAAGGTCATTCCATAACAGTAATACATGTATAATTCTATTATGGCTTTGTTTTTCTATTCAAAGCATATGTAATACAATAACATGAATAAAATTGTCACGTGAAATACCTATCTAATTACGAATTCAATTCTTTTTCTTTTCCCGAATGAAAATGCGCTGTCCTTAGGCACCCCGTAGGTTTACCAGGTTCCCGACCACGCTTACCCCTTCCACGGGTTCCCATCTTTACTTTTAGCTATTCGCAAGGAAAATGACAAAGTAGGGAATATAGATCTGTGGTTGCCCACCACTTGTGTATAAACATTTACGCAGGAAATTTTAATTAATACTGTACAGTCGAAATAAAAAATAAAATTGGCGAAATAAAAAAGTCTATTTTTATCACTCACGCTAAATGGCGCCACATGTTTTGTCGAATTTTTTAAAATGAATTTTCAATATTTATTTATACCAGAAAAGAAGCCTCGTTCGAAAAAATGTTTTTTGACCTACCTTCCTTTTAATATAGGACTTTCTATTAGTACCTTTTTTACTTACTTTTTCAAGTAGATTCATCTCCTTTACGATTGTACCATCAGATAAGGAAGATTCTGTATAACCTTCCATTCAATGTCATGTTAAAAAGTTTTGTTTACCTTCGACGGAATCCGTAGTCTAACCTCTTTTCCTTCCTAAATCTACCTATATAAATCAGTAAAACTTGACAAATGATGTCCAGTACGATTAATCATAAGTTATTTTATAATACTGTTCTGTCACAAACATTTTCCCCAGATGGAAATTATTTACTGGCTGGAAATATTTACGGAGATGTTTCAGTTTTCGAGTAAGTATTTATTTACATCTCTATTTCAAATAACTATTAGGTTATGTTGATATTAATTGCAATAAAGATCGATAATAACTATTATTATTTTTCTCTAGGTTATCAAAAGCTCTAGGTCCTCGTAAAGCAGAAGAAAATGAGTTACAAGGACCCAATTATCGCTTCACTGCTCATCCTGACCAACAGGTAGAGAGTATGGTTTCGACAGATAATTTTTTGGTGACAGGAACATCTGGGGAAGTATGCGGATGGGATTGGAAAATAGTTACCTCTAGCAAAGCACCAAAAAGTAAAGTTTCATGGACTGTACAGATGCCAGTTAATAAGTAATATTCAAGCCTTCATAAAAATGTAAATAATACTGGAACACAGTGTAGTTTTTAACAATATTAATATCAGTTTATCCTCAGAGACAGCTATGAAAAACCAGACGTGAATTACATGGTATACTCCAAATCAAATCATCTTTTGTATGTTGGATGTGGTGATAATAATATTTATGTAATTACCTTAGAAGATGGTAGAATAGTCAGAAGTTTACAAGGACATACAGACTATATCCATTGTCTGTCATTAATGTGCGTATTATTGCGATAAGTGATATACAATCTTCAAATTTCGTGCAATAAATTTTGACTATTTTTCAGGGGTAATCAGTTAGCTTCCTGTGGGGAAGATGGAACAGTAAGATTATGGGATTTAAGAAAAAAAGAAAATACTAATATATTAACACCTTATTTGGTAGAAAAGGTAGCCAGGCCAAGGTTAGGCAAGTGGATTGGTGCTATAGATTTTACAGATGACTGGTTGGTGCGTGTTTAAGCCTTTCTTCTTGAAACATACGTAATTTATTATTAATCAGTACATCATGATTTTCTAGTTATGTGGTGGTGGTCCGTCTTTATCCTTGTGGCATATACGCACGATGGAAGCAGCAACTGTGTTTCATCTTTCAGACGAAGGGATTCACGTAGCAAACATTTACGAGGAACGTGTAATTGCTGCGGGAGCAGCGCCTCACGTTTATCACTTAACGTATCAAGGAGAAACATTGGCCAAAGTGCCAACTTCTAGTAACACCGTTTACAGTATTATTTACCAAGAAACTCCACAGAAAGTAATGAGTATAGCCGGCTGTTCGAATAATCTTGACGTTTGCACAAACTTTAACTATCGTGAATTAATGTTAAAGTTTGCGTAATAACAAAACAAACATGTTTTCCATGCGATCTGTGGAAGAAAAACAATCTCATGGCGTTTATATATTTTTAAATAAATATATTAATACAATATGCATTTTATAAAATATAGTATAAAACTTTTTACAAATATACAAGTATCCGTTCGTTAATCGTGGCTCCTTGTAATGCGACAGTCTCTTAGATACATTGAACAATGTATTCATAAATCCTAGAGGACTATAGTTAAAGAAAGCCGTGACCTGCGATCACAGCAGGTATGAAGCCCTCTCTGCCGTCCCGCGAACGAACCCAGAACCAGTCGCTTACGTGATCGCTAAGCAGAGCAACGACGTCACCTTTAGAAACGCTCAGAGCGTTTCCACCTTGGCCTTCATAGTCGCTGCGTATCACGAGCAAAGTATGACGGGATCCTTTGGTTCTAGCGTTTGCCGCGGCTCTAAGATACAATCTATCAACGCTGCGTTCTCCACAGGCTGAAACCGCGTCTCTGGAACTTCGTCTTACTCTTGGATTTCTACCCCGAGCCCCGCACTCTGATCGGGTGTCCCTTAATTTCTCAGTGTCGGTCATGTTACCTAAAACCATACAATTTTCACATAACATTTAGAACTACCTTTCTTTATTTCTCGACTGTGTACGGTTAAATGAAATAAGCAGCGTTAGCGGTTGAAGCGGTTGAGGAACTGCAATTATTCTAAGGCTACCTAGAGGACGAGGAAATACATCCGTTGAATCCTCCCAGCATGGACCCCGCGTTGGTTGCGGTAAGATTCCAAGTGGTAGGCACGCAGCATACCCAACGTATCCTTCTTGTCCATGGGGAGTTTGAACGTACAACCAGGTCTGGTTCTTGAATACAGCATTCACCACTGTTCCAAGTGGTAGAGCCATCTCGTCTTGAGTACCTCCTTGGGTTTGGTACAGGACAGATGGGAAGGACAGAACCACGGGAATGTTGGCGGGTTTCTCTATCGAGGCCTAAAAAGTATTCTATCCTTTGTCGAGAATATTCCTTAGGCTACGTTGAATTCTTTCAAGCAATTCAAAGGTACCTTCGTGAGAAACGCATCGAGGTCCGCAATTTCGTAACCGAACCTGCTAGGAGGTCTAGGCTTGTGAGAACGTTTGGTCCTCCGATGTCTGTGCTTCTCACGACCACTCGGCGTGGACGTTGACTCCCGAGACACGAGAGACGGTTCGGACACTGCCCTCTTAACTTTCTCCTTTTCTTTTGTGTCTTTCAATCCGGGAAATCCCTTCTCGGATTGCTTGTCCAAAGGGCTGTCGAGAGACCTCTCGTTCACCAGCACCTCCTTGCCGATAGACTGTAAAAGAAAAAGTAACGATCAACTTCAGCAACGATTCATTTTACATTCAGAACAGTTGTCCAAGGATTTTCCATCGAACTTCGACCTTTTCTGTCCTCTCAATCTTCTCGATCCTATGGAGAATCTTCTTTTCTCGTTTCTCAGTATCCAAGTTCTCCTTGCCAGCATCCTTTTCCTTCACGCTCTTAACGCTCCTCCTGGAGGACCTCTCCTTACCGTCTCGTGACAAGCTCTCCCGATCGTCGTTCCCACCTTCGCAAACGAAACATTGTTTCTCAAGACTTCATAAAGTAGCAAGGAAATTACGGGTGATTTACCGCATTCACTTATGGACTATCAAAGGTAACCTGTTCTCCTCGAGCCTAAATTATCTCTTTAAATTAAAAATCACTGCCTGACTTGGGGTTCTCACGGAATTACTGTGTTAATGGATGTTGAACTTGGATTATTGCTTGACCTATGTTTCATGTACCTGCATTGTTATTTGGTTCTCCTTTTGTTGGATTACTACAGCGGTACCTCGGTATACGACATAAATTTTTGTGTGAATTTTTAAATAATTATCTCGAAAGAAAAATTTAATTAATAATCGATTATATTCGGAGTTGATGTATTATTAAGGGAAAGGTTGGTTTGGTATAAGTTCAAACATTAGGAACCAAGGTACCACTGTACTTGACCCTGAAGCTTTAAATACTTAAATTTTCTATTTTCAATATTATTCCATTTAAGTTTCAAGTTTGACCCTCTTCAACATTTGATCTATTTGCACCTGTATTCCCATTGATAGTCGTCTGATTATTGGTGGACGCAGGTTGCTGTTGTCCACGGAGGACCCAGGTCAAAGAGATCTTGGGGCGCAAGAGGGTGCTTGACCGTTGCCCCATGCTCTTCGGCGGTGCGAGGGGCGTGGAGGGCGTCGCAGGCGTCGCCGATCTGGGTGGTGACGGTGACCTCGACGCCGGTGTCACCACCTGCAAAGGACAGTCCGCCACCAGGTCCACCGTCTGCACCGAACAGCCATGTTCCTGTAATGGAAAACCAACACCTTAGAATCTTAGATAGGCACCGTTTAACCAGCCCGCATCTCTCACGAATTTATTAAACGACCATCGCCCGTTAATTAACGGATCGAAATAAAATGCAGCGACGCGTTGCGTTGGAAAAACTTGTTTCAGAAATATATTGCGCTTCCGTGAAACGTGGATCCTGAGAATGGTTAATTCCCGCGCGTGCTGCGCCTTCTACAAAGTGGATTATTAATTCGTCTCATAGGCGTTCAATTAGCCCGCGAGGCGAGTCGCGGAAATGAATTATTCGTTGGCGCACGCGTGTCCCCGGTGTGCTTTACCGTGCCGCGGAAATTTACGACTCTCGTCTCGCATAAATAGCCAGCTTGGCCACCAGGAAATTTACGAACGACCACTTGCGTCCGCCTCGTAAAATTTCTGCTCCAGTTGACCCTGATGTCTGTACACTGAGAAGAGAATCTTCCTTCGCTTTCGCGGAAAATAACGAAGGTCTGCTATCGTTAGGTCATTGGAAAAAGTGGATGTTTTATTTTTAAAGGTTAAAAACAGTAGGTAATACCAGTGGTAAGTGAAATAAAATATTTCTTTCTTGCTTATGCCCGCGACCGCCGAGAGAAATCCTTTCGCGTGGACCGATCTCCGAAGACATTCCACGTGGTCCGGTCTGCGAACGCGTTCCTATGAATTATTGCACCATTAACGTGAGTAATCGTGCCGGCGGGAAAATTATATAGTAATTTGTTCGCAGCTGATCGAATACGTCGAGAATTTTATTCTTCTTTCTGCCGGGGTAATGAAGCGGGCTAGCCCGGAAGGGAGAACGCGTACCAACCCCATTCGACCGGACTCGTGGCCGTGAAAAATGAAGACGTTTCACCCGGCCGCTTTCGATTTTACCCGTTGAATGGCCAGCTAAGTAGCCATTCCGTACGCTCTTATAATTTATACGTCGCCCTTTTGTGTTAAACACAACGCGATTCCCTTTTACGCCAACCGAACGATGCGATTACCACGAAAAAAAGCACGCTGCTTTTAACCCCTTTGACTTATGATTTCTTTCCTGACCACGGGTGTTGCGCTTCGACGATGAATACGATTCTATAGAAAAAAAACTACCTCGTACAAAGGATTCTTTACGGTTTGAAATACGACCCGATGCCGAGATAGACGTTTTTGTGTCTTTCGGTGGGTTCATCCGGTGATTTCTACGTTTCGTGTTGTAGAAAAAACTGACAAGTAACAGATGAAATTATTCTGAGACGAAAAAATGAAATTTCACTAACTCCAAGGAGCAACGAGTAACGCGAAGAAGAAAGGAAGAAGGAGGTAGAAGAGAGGTAGGTCCCATTTAAGTGACAGAAAGGCTGGTCCACGGCGTGAAGGTACACGCGAGGTAGCCTCAGGTGACAAGTTAAAAAGGGAGGGAAGAGGTTGGCGGCGCGAGCCAAGTCTCTCGGATCATGCTAATGAAATTCTCAAGATATCTATCTCGCGCGCCACTGTGCACAGGGCATTAGTTTAGCGTTTCGCTCGCGGCCAACCTCGCTCTTATCTGTCCGCCTTCGGACGGGCCGTATCAATTTCCGTGGAACGCGAAACGCGGGGTTAAACGGGGGTGTCGTGTTCGTCACCGATCCTGCTACCAATTTCCCCTACCTTCTAACGAAATCACCTTTCGCCTCCATACGGAATTTTCTTAGCTTTTTATTTTTGAAAATTTCACCGATGCAAAATATGATATATCGAGGTTGCGTAAGTCTCCGGTGACCGGTTATCCCCTGCTATTGCAACGATCCCGTGACAAGGCTCTAAATCAAACAGAGCAGCGCGGACTTACGAGCGTTAATTGCTAGACTACGCGCGGCCCGTCCTCGAAAGGGACTTTATTGCACCGGAAAATCAAACGTTGTACCGTTACTCGCGTACGCGAACACCATCTGCGTGCGCGGTAAAGAGCATAAACGTGTAAATGGCTGATAATAATCCGGATGGAGGGATCCTCCGAAGGGTATAAGACGCGTTCCTCAGCGTTTGGATAGTCGCATGAACGCGTTTTACGAGCACGCGGAACGAGCTTTCCTCTTTCGACGCTTCCAATGTTAAGGTAAATAAAACCAAACCCCTCGTAAATTGATTTTTTTTTCACCAACCGAGACAATCGTAGGATCTATCGTCGAATAAATTTAATTTCTATACGACAAAGTAGATAAACTGTTCTCTTATTTTGAATCTCACGAATAAAATTTAAGGACGATGGAATTGTAAAACGAGCAGTAGTGGCTCGCTTATAGGCACTATTTCCACTTAATATTATCGATAACATTTATAATGAGTCCTTGTTTCTTTATATTTGTACCATATATAATCCTTAAGCTTAACGTCAGTAGCCATCCCCCAGTTTATGAAAAAGATACAAAAATCTTTATATGGAACTATGCGCATCATAGTTCCAGTGGCGTGGTGTCTGACTGTTGTGCGCATGCGCACGCGCATGCGCACATAGAAAGCTGCGCAGTACAGAAAGTACTGTCGCTCGCGCAGTGCTGGTTTCTTAAAACACAGGCTAAAAATTTTCTAGAGCAACACCCCCAGTAATTTTAGGTCCCGAGACCGTTAAAAGACAGACGTTCTTACCGGACTCCTCCGTGGCAGCAAATCTTCCTCGACAAATATAAAAGTTCCTTACGAAGTTTAAAATCGCGGAAAGTCTGTGTCACCGCGAGCAGCGTATCTCGGTTGGCAAGAAGCGATGTACGACTTCTTGTCGCGGTACAGAGAAGGAAGAATAAAAAAGGCCTCGCGTAGCGAGCGAGGAGGGTTTAAAACCGCAATCCGCAAAGCAGCGATCGATCGCTGATCAATCCTCCCACAGTGGAGCGGATCCGAAGGGGTTCCAAGAAATCAGCGCCTACCGACAAAGCATCTACATAAACTCAGCAACGAGTTTACCTGTGTTTCGTGTTAGAAGTCCGTCGCGATTTTCTCGGAAACCATCGAGGCTTGCGCCGAAGGTAAGACCGTTCGAGGAAGAGGTCGCGAAGAAAATCGCGCGAGGATAGCGGCTGATATTTTTAGCGTCATTTGTGCGTAACGAGCGTGAACGTTCGCCGTTTATGTCGGACCGTTTCTCTTCCCTCGGGTTTCTTGGTCGCGAGCCCCATATTGCCGCCGATAATTCGCCAGAAGCCGTGGAACGGAGCCACACTTCCAGCTGGAACCACCTCGTAAAGGATCCTGTCGAAGGACGCGGCAAAAAGCGCGCCAGGATACGTGCGTCGTCTTTATTTGGAGAGGAATTTTTAACCCCCGTTCGAGGGCTTCCTTTTTACCAACCGAGAATTCCAATGGAGCCGCGAAGTTTTTCTCGACGAGGGAACCGATGTTCCACGCGACTGAGCGGAAGGAAGAAGAGTATGCCTCGTATATATCTTCTTCACGGTTGGTTTTGCCGATTGAGTGAGGATGTGGTTAGAAGGGGTGGTTCGATGGTCGTGGTTCAAGGTGAATTTTCGATATTAATATCGAGTCTCAGCTACCAAGAAAATAATTTCTAATTAACCTTCACAGGTCTGTGCTACTAAAATTGTTAAAGACTACGAAGGGTGCAAAATCACCCCCTTGAATTTTATGAACATTTCTAAACTAAGGATCTTATATTATGCTATATTTAAATTTTTAATTTAAATGTCTCTGTGATTAACACAGAAAAAAATATATACTGATCGAATTGAGTAACCTCCTCCTTTTTCAAAGTCGGTTAAATAAAATAAAGTATAAGATTGTGAGAGATGAAAGAAGCCTAGTCAAGGAAAAAAAAGGTGGTTAGACCGAAGAAGCATCTTTCCCATGAGAACGATGGGAACGAGGAGGGTGCACCGAGGCAACACAGGGCGTTTAACCAAAATTACACTTTATATGTACGAGCGGATCATTGCACAAGATGGTCCATGCGTAACGGCCGCGGTGCAACGGTGCATTTCCTTTTACTACTGCAGCTCAGACAACGTAGACCGTAAAACCTGACCGTCGGTGCTTTAACGACAACTGCAACTGCAGAAATCGTCGAGTTGTTGGCCAACATGTTTTCAAAGACAATGCATCCCCTGAACTTTATGAATCACCGCTACTACTCGAAAACACGATATTTCTTTGTCATTTTTTAAGAGGGCAGCAATTTAATTGAATCGAAATTAATTTTTATATTATGCAGAAGATTTACTTATGCGAGTCCTGCTCGTGTTTTTATTTCGAATGGCACCGTTTCAAGGGTTACTTATTTAATTTATTAGCCCATGTACACGGGTATCAGTTACGCAAGGTTCATCGAGGCGTACAATAATTAAATCCGGCTCTCGAACGATCGCTAATTCGATCCACGTTTCGATCCATATAAATGCTAATTACCAGTGTTCCCGTTTCAATCGACTGATCCCCCGAAGCTTTACGGGAGGTTAATTCCATTTGAAGCAAGAACACGCTTCGAGCCACTTAATTACTCCGCGGGAACGGGACCGAAGTAGTCGTGATTTCGTGAAACAAAGGATACATTGTTGTTTCCACGTAGGCATAGAATTAAGGCGTTCGAGGAGGAATGTTGCACCTGGTTCGTTTAATGCTTCTCCACGATTCCGATTAGAAAGTTCGTGAAATGTTACCTTGTAAGAGGTTCTGTCCTCCTCTTCTGGGGACGGGGCAGCGGGATCTTCTTCCGGGGTCGCTACAGCTTCCGTTTCCGCTGGCTGGTAGTCGACCTCGCTGCTCCAAGAGTGTCGTCTCTTCAGGTCCCCTGAAAATTTCAAAAATTTTCTTATTCTAACCACTTAAAATTTTAATAATTCCATAATTTCCATAAATATTAGATTCTAAATTTTTCGAAACTCAAACGTTTTTCGAAAAAATCTGAATAATATTTCGTAGAAAATACGAGAGCACGTCGAAGGAAAATGAAAACGGACACGTTTGGCACGTGGCGGATGGGTAACCGGTAATTAATACGAACCGACTCAATCGACCGTCCGCTTAATTAGAATTGTCACTATCGTTCATCTGGACGGCGACTGTTTAACGTCAAGTTGCCAATCGAAGCGTGGCTGACAAAACTTGCCGCTACCACTTTTTGCCCGCGTTGCTCGGACGCGGTGTATAATCCCACAACAACGTGTTCCTGACGATACGTCTCCTGTTACGGATTACGTATTTCCCGTCTAACATCGGATCATCGAGCAATCCTACCCGATAAGCCGGTTATTAATTTCCAGCCGGTCTCGAGTGGATGACACCGGCTGAAATCGTGTTACGGTTTTACCAGTTATGACGAGCCCATCTTTGGCCAATCGATCTTGAACAGTTTAACGACACGTGGATCGTCTGCTTCGGAGGTTGTTCGATAAGTCGACGAGCTGGAAAATCGATTGACGTATCGCGAGCCGCTATCTGGTACCGTTTGGAAAATTTCTTTCGATACCGAGAACATAGTTTCTATTCCATTACTGGACGGGTTATCGATTACAGAAGTTATAGTTAAACGGGTCCTGGGTAGGTTTAATTAACTTGTTGATTGACAGAAACGGACAAGTGTTAGACACGAGTAGTATAGATAATACGGAGTGAAATTGTAGTTATTAATCTTTGCACAACGAAAATTTCAAAATTTTTAATTCAAGGAAATTCAATCGTGGAATCCTAGGACCGTGAGATATGAAAATTCGAAACTTTTAAAATTGTCCAATTATCAAGTTTTTAAAATCGTGAAAGGGTATAGCCGGGTAAGGTAGGCAAAATGGCCCTTGAACTAAATTTAATTCAGAATATGTCATTTGATAGCATATCAAAAGAAAGTACTGTACACCAATTTTCAACCCTTTATCTTAACTAGGGGAGCAGTGAGGGGGGGCAAAAGAAACGCCAGATCGTGACCCATTTCTCCTATTTAATAACATCCGAAAATTCTGAAAAAATTCTAATACACTACAAACACGGTAGCGCATATTAGGGAATTTTTTCAGATTTTTTCATTGCAAATCCTAATTGTAAAAAATGAAAAACCGAACAAACAATCTGAAGAAACGTAATTTGTTATTGAAAATGTAAGAGCACTACTTTTATATTACTGTGATAATAACATATAATAGTATGTTAAATGCGAAACAATTGGCTTTTGATTTTTTCAACTACGTTGCACCACTAACTGCGCTACCGTGTTTGTAGTGTATCAGAATTTTTTCAGAATTTTCGGATGTTATTAAATAGGAAAAATGGGGCCCCCTGGTTAAGATAAAGGATTGAAAATTGGTGTACAGTATTTTCTTTTGATATACTATCGAATGACACATCCTGAATTTAATTTGATTCAAGGACCATTTTACCTACCTTACCCGGGTATACCCTTTATGGAATCTCAGAACTGCGAGGTCTTAAATCCCAAACTTGTGAAATTTTTTAATTCTACATTCTTGGTATCTTTCTGTAAATGATTCTCGATTATTTCACCGATTTTTCATCGATGCTGTTGAAATGTTTAAGGCCGATGCACACCAGTTCGTACGAGGATAACGATCGAAGATAAGCTCGCGGGTTAAACACTGTATTCGAGACGTGACTTATGGGGTTGGTTACGGGGGTCGGGGGCAGAGGCTGTGGATTCTACCTACAAATTTGCTCGTTTACTTGGGTTCGTGGAATGCCACGGGGTCCCACGGGACGAAGGGTAGACACGGACAGCTTGAAAAGAGGATTGCGTAGTGATCACGAACAGGAAATTTATCGGTTCGACGGTCAAAGCGTGAATTACGTCGATTCTCGCGTGAGCCGCAATAAAATATTCGCCAAAGCTTCATCGCATTGTGCCTTTCGTAACCGCTTATTTGCATCGCTCGTATCTCACGCGGTTTCCCGCGCGATTTCAAACACGCGCCCATGCCGCTAAAATTCTTCACCCGTCAGACAATCGAATAAAACTGAAAAAATTATCATTTTAAATATCCTGTATATTATATTAACGTTGGAATGTTTTGTGCGAAGTTGTATATATCAAATGCTTGATTTTGGAACAAATCCAGTCTGACACCACGATTTCATGACATAAAAGTATCACTAAATACCATTTGTGATATATTGAATTAAAGTTTAAAGTTTCAAGAAAAATACTACGTAAAGGTTTCATGAATGTTTTTAATAGAAAATTGTTGGTTCTTTGTTGAAACAAACAACGCATCGATCAACTAATAATTTAGTAATAGTTTGCTTCCACAAAGAATTAGCCACTTTGTATTAAGAGCCTTTGTTATTATATACCGAATTATTCACTATTGTACTTACAAGGGACATTACCCAATCGATACACGCCGATTTAGATGCCCTTTGAGTATGATATAGTACTCAAAAAAATATTTGACACGTATTTTTTTTATCGGCAATATTTCATGCTGAAGGGATGAAAAAAATGACAAAAATAGATTATTTTTCAATATATTTTTTAAACAAATAAATTTATCAAAAAGGTGGCTACATAGAAAAATTTGCTGTTCAAAAACACGCAAATTCCATTTGGAATTTTTCGCCTACAACTAATAGTTTCTGAGATATTCAAGAACCCCAACTTTGAGGGCTATTTTCACCCCTTCAGCATGGACGATTGCCGATAAAACAAAATACTTGTCAAATATTTTTTGAGTTCTATATCATACTCAAAGGGTATCAAAATCGGCGTGTGTCGATTGGGTAATGTCCCTAATTAGATAGTCCGGCTTTCTCATCATATTATAAGTCAACCTTTAACAAAAAACATCCCAAGTCTTTCTTTTTACTCCTAATGATTCAGTCGAACTAGTCATCTTCAAACCCTGACTTCATGACCTCATCCCTTACCGACCACTGGACTCTCAATAACTCCCACCTTTCTCATATTTTTCTGATTCTATAATTTTCCGATTACTTCTGTCACGACAAATATTCTTCGCTTGTATTTCATTTAGTAATTAAAATAAATATCGCGTGCGGAATACAACAACTTTTAAATATACTCTTTTGTCGAACTGTAAGTTATAAATTGATGTACCATAAGTGGTATTTTACGATTCTTTTATGTCATGAAATCATGTCGGAATGGAAGCGATATCTTGATCGGAACTCGTCATGATTTCGCGAGACATTTCCCTACACCTTAGTGTTTTTACCGGTACAGATTATTATAGAAGGCTGACTGGCACGATTACAACGAGATTAACGAGAGAAAATCAGAGTAACACGCGATTGAACACGCAGGCGACCGTGAATTTACAAGCCACGTGTAGTTACCCTGTGCACGTGGCTTCCGCTTGGACGCGCGTAATCTCGTTCTTTTCCCTCGTTCTGGTCCAGGATCTACGATCGCTGCGCTTCGTAACGCTTCGCTCGCATTCCTAGAGAGCTTTCGCGAGTGCCGAGAAACCGGAAAAGGAAGGCAACATGCGATGCAATTAGCCGTTGCGATCCGTGGATCGAAGAAATCGTAACCCGCGATTGCGGAAGATTTAAGCGGGACGAAGTTAATCGACAATCTCGGCCTAACGACCAGATTTTCCCGTCAGCGAATTATCCAGCTTTCATTAACATTCGATTAGAGTTCTTTTATCTCTGTTACATTTTCTACGATCATCTACGATAATCTATCCCGAATCAAATTTTTCGGAATTTCGAAATGAAATCCGACGAACTTGAAAGAAAACGGCGATGCATCATCGCGTGATCGTGATTAAAGAAAATGATCGGTCGAGAACGGTGGAAGGCCCGGTATTTCCGGAATTTGCGTACGATAGCAAAGAAGTTCGCTATCCGAGCCTTCACGGATGATAGATAGCCTGGGCTGGCGGAAGATGAAAAATCATTTCTTGCTTATCTCCGGGAAGGAATCTCATCAAAGACTGGCGCACGGTGAAATAGTTAATGCGACTGTTACTCATCGTCTGCATCGATTTCTTACACGATTGACGGACGACGTCTCAATCGGACATGTTGGTCGAAAAAGAACGTATGCCTGGTCTAGTTCTTTCGATCGATGACCGACAGCGATCTCGCGGAAACTCATTAACATTTAACCGGTAATCAGCGTGTGATTAACGAGATCCGTAGACGGTCAACCGGGTAGCAGCTTTGAACTCGGTCTTATCATTGAAATCTCACGATTTGACGTCGTTAACAGTCGCGAATGCGGATCGTCACGATCCAACGACGGTGATCCATGCCTCTACGAGTGTCGTCGTTTCTTCTTGCTGCCTCCGTACCGAAGCATCCGGCCTCCTTTACATTTCTATCTTGTTTATGGTTCGCGGATGAGCGACTTGTGGCTCCGCTTCTGTTTATCTCCCCCTCTTACAGGATCAATAAAGCAGTCAAGCTTCCTCATTGCACATTAATTACATAGGTAATTTGAAATTTTATATTGCTCCGAATGGTCAATTAGCATGAACACGTTATAATTGCAATCATTCAGATTTCCATGGTTTTAATTTTCTATTTAAACTTATGTAATTAAAGTAATATTAATCCTTTTTTTTTTTAATTCATGTCACCGATCATCGATATCTGCTACGGTAATTGAAGCGTTAATTAATCTCTTCATCAGTTCACGTACCCTATCACAAAAGGAAATCACTATCTCCTTAAATCCTTATCCAGAACCTTCAATTTCGACTTCCTTAACGTTCATAGAACTCTCAATCGGAATGATCATCTTGCTATCCGAACGATACATCTTCGGCAAACAACTTCGCGTTCTTCATGTTCACTGACACACGCGTGATTAACGAT